CGTTTCAAGCGGAGTACGAGGAATTCTGCCAGCGACGGATACGTGAACACCTTCCGCATGTCACGTATCGCAATTTCCTGCGCCAGTGGAGGCGCTCCGCTCGTGCTCACGGCGAAAGCTATCCTGCATATAAAGGAGTCTCTAAAGGTACTGGTGGACAGGAAGAGCTGGGAAGCGGAAAGGGTGGAGTCACTCCCCCTCCTCCTCCTTCCAAGAAAAGAAGTACAGGACACAGCGAGGGTGGAGATACTCCCCCAGCAGCAAAGGCCAAGAGTGGAGATCCTCCCTCGGGGGACCCAATCACGGAAGCTGCGATCAAAGTTCTTCAGTCAGCTGGTTATACGCCCTTTCCCAGTCTGATTTCAGACTGTGATGGGAACATCACTGACCTGAACAATCACCGCATTATGGTGACAGTAACTCAGCAGCTGCGAGATGGCCTCAATCAGGCGGAACGACCCTCCCCGGAGATAGCCAATGCTCTCCTGGAGACCTTCCTGGCCTCTCGCCGGGGACTTGCCAATGAGCCTCTGCAGCCGAAGCTTGGATATCCCACGGAGAATGGGTGGTTTCGTTTTGAGTATTCTTCACCGAACATTCTTCCTGCAGGGGACAGCGAGGTTGCGTTCCACGGCACACACCTGGAATGTTTGCATGGGATACTGGCCACAGTCAGGCTACTACCTTCGACACCTGACCTCTCCGGCACGCGAAGCTTCGAGGCACGACCAGGTGTGTATCTCCACAAGATGTCAAACAGGCATCTTGCTGCCGGTTACAGTTGTCTGGTGAGGATAGGACCTCGGCACATATTCGTGCGGCCCATGTTTGAGGTGGAGGCTGCGCACTCTGGATCGCAAAAACGTGGTAAGAAAACAAACCAACTGATATACTCCTATGATGCAGTCAAAATCCGAGCGCTGCTACTGCAAATATCAACCAAGGAGACACTCACCTTAGGTGAGTACCTCCGAGAGTGGAGTGGCTTGTTGGAGATACCACTGAGACAAGCACGGGAATCCTTTTTGGCGTTGGGATACGAACTGCCTGGCGAAGCCTCGTCAAGTGGAGTCAAGGAAGGAGGAGTTGCTCCCCTTCCGGTTTGTGAGCAGGCGTCCAGCTCACAGGGTGGAGTTTCTCCCCCGACCATGGCGTCAGAGATTGACCACAGCTCAACAACGCCACGTAGCTCCACTATAGTGGCCTGGGAGGGCCAACCAGGCGATCTAGGGGACTATTGCACTGCCTCTACGAAGCCGGAGACCAGCTTCTCGTTCGAAGTCTCGAAGGCTCTAGCAGCTTCGCTCCGGCACGGACATAAACCCTACATCAGCGTCACTTCAGCTGGTTGGGCCAAATTAGAGGACGTCCTGAGATGGCCAAGAGTGCAGGCCCAGCACGCCACGGCAGGCGACCTCATGGAGGTCGTTCGGAGTAACGCAAAAGGCAGGTACGAGCTGGGCGATTGCCAAGGCCAGAAGTACATCAGGGCTCTGCAAGGACATTCTCGCTCTGATGTGGACTCCAATGAGGTGTTGGAGGAACTCACGGAGGAGATGCTCCCCAGAATGCTGTATCATGGCACATTCTGGTCCTTGTATGACTCCATACGCCAACGAGGCCTTCTGCCTCAGAACAAGATTTCCAAGGGCCGCGGCAAAGGCGGACGTGGCAGAGAGGGACGACAGCATGTTCACTTCGTCTCGGATCGGGACTATGGGAGACCTGGTGTTTCTGGATTCAGAGATAGCTCGTCGATGCTGGTAGCGGTCGATCCACGCAGAGCCATGCAGGTAGGGGTGCAATTTTTCCGTAGCAAGAACGGCGTCATTCTCACCCCTTCCGAAGTGCCCCCTTCTGTCATAGAGTACTACCAGAGCCTGAAATCAGGTACTAAGTACGGAGGCGACAACAGGCCGCTCTGATCGTGAGGACCCTCACCTAATGGTGGAGTCCCTCCCCACACTGATAATGCAGCTGCTCACGCAAAAATCTATGTTATGAGGCTGAAGGTCACTTCAATTTCATCACCAGACAGCAAGTATACCCCGAGGTCGCATGTGAAGCTCCGTGCGCAGTCGTGGGCCCGGATCTGCAAGTGAGTTGTCAGCCAAAAGTTTTCTGGAAGCTCTACTTGCCTTCTCGTACAGGCTCAACTCACCAGCTGTCTCGACTGTAGAAGCCATGCCTGAAACACCGAAGAAGAGTGGCAGCAGAGCGACCTCCCGAACCCCTCCTCCAGTGCGACGTCGGCCCCACCTATCCAGGTCGCCGCCAGCCAGTGACGCCATTCGGGAGTCCGACTCCGAAGACACAGCAGCCCCTAAAGCAGCCCCTAAAGCAGCTGGGCCTAAGGGCCCGCCGCCTCCGATGCCTGTTAACCTGTCAGGAAGTGGATCTAGCACAGATCGGACACCGGGCCCAGGTAAGGCACCTGGAGTGCCAGTGAAAGGTGGAGTCCCGGGAGGAGTTTCTCCCCTGGGACCACCGCCAAAGGCTG